CTAGTCTCAAATCTGATCATCAATCTCTTTATTGCCCTCAAGAATGCTATTTTGACTTCTGATGGAATTTCCTCTTACTACGATGTTAAAATTGGTATAGATCAAGGAGAAGTTATTTCATCACTCTTATGGTGTATTTATTTAGATCCTCTTTTATGTGAAATCAGTTCTCTTAACAAAGGTTATATCATAAACCATACATGGATCTCTGATATTACTAATAACTCAATTACCATCCTTTCTGAATCCGTATCTTCACTGACTTTTATGGATAATACTAATTGGATTGCTAATAGCCAAATAGATTTAGAATGCATCCTTGATGTAGCTGATAACTTCTATAACTTAACTAGAGCTGCCTTAAATAAGGATAAATCCAAGCTTCTTGTTACCAATTTCACATCATCTTTTTCTGTTAATCTTCACTTTGGATTTTCACATATAGACATCACACCTGAAACTGAATCTGTTCATTTTTTCAGAGTCTGAATCAATAGTCAACGTTCACAATTCTTTATTAAAAATCAAATCAGACAAGACATTAATAAATTTATTAATTCTATGAAATATAAGCTAGTAACTGACAAACAAATGGCTTATATCATTAACATGGTCCTCTGTCCTTTACTTGAATATCACATGCAAACTACTCTCCTATCAAAAAATGAATGTAATATTTTATTTACTTCTATAAAATCCCTATTCAAATTAAAACTTCACTTTTCTTCTACTCTTCCCATGGTTCTCCTACACCTTAAATATTTTTATAACCTTAATAATCTTTGGTTACTTCAAATCCAATCAATTTCTACCGCTCTTCTAAACCAGTTTAACAATAACATATTTTACAAGAATATTTCAACTATCAGATTGTTCCAATTACAATCGCTCAATATGTTAGCTACTTCACCTTTGGATCACTGGTACTATCCATTCAATAGTAAATTATACAAAAATTTAATTGGTGCTTCTCTAAGTCTAATCAGTCATAGTTTCCAAAAATTTTCATGTATATGCTCTTCTACTCTTAAAAACCAGATTGTTGGAAAAACTACTTCACTTTACAAAATCATTCCTTTTAATGTTTTCATCCGTCATTATTACATACTAAAAAAACATAATCTTTTTTATTTAGATCAGCTTACATCATTCATAGGACGTCACCTTATTATTTAAGCTGACTTTTTATATAGAGACTTCAATCATTCTACCATAAAAATATGTCATTCAAACTTTATATCCCTTTTAGAATCTTTTGTATTAGATAGCCTCTCAGATACACTTCTTAAAGAGAAATATTTTCTAGATTGTTTACCCAACTATCTCAATCTAGCTAAACCTTTAATGCTAGTTAACAGAAAGAAAAAATTTGTTTCTATCTGGAATCTGACTAATATCACACTTGTCTTCGGCCAAATTATAAATAAAAATATTAAGCCTGATGAGTTTATCATTCAACATTACATCTACTCCTTTGAGAATAATATTGGAAGGCTTGTCAAATGTGATGGTTGTAATAGATTTCCATCAACACCATACTATGACTTCTGTAATTTTACTATAGCAAAATACAGAGCAGTACAAGTTCTCATTATACCAAAATCTGCTAAATAGTGTCTTATTAACTTAGACACACCTTGCATGAAATCACTAGGGTTGTGCAATCTCATTCTATCTGTATCATACCCAATACTCCTTCTCTTTTTCAAGATCTTATAGAATGAATCTTTCCTAATCTTCATATCACGATCAACTGCGATCAATTAATTCAGAAGTTTTTACCTGTAAATTTACACAGACAGTTCTCTCTCTGCTTCAAAAACTGATCAATATAAAATGGGTATTGGATCTGTCATACTGACTTAAATTCACAATTAATGTTCAATGCTTCCATTAATTATTGACCTTCTTTAATTTGAGCTAAAATTGTTGTTATTCTCTCAGCTCTAGTTATCTTTCCTAAATACTCAACTATACAGATTTACACTGATAGTCAAGCTACCATTCATGGCTTTTATTCTCACATTACTCAATAATCATTTTCTACAAGAACTAAAAAAAAATCAGCCAACTACACATTATGGTATCTCATCTAATATATAATGGAATTTTCTGAACTCCAAGTTTATCTTTACAAAGTTAAGGCTCACAATAGAGGCCTTTCTAATGATATAGCTGACTCACTAGCTAAAGCTGATTGTGATCTTCCTTCTTTATCTCCTTCCCTCGTTCATACTCCTAGAATAAGACTAATTAAAATTAGATTATATTATCAATTTTTTATATAATAGTCTTTACTATAATTAATTTCTTCACAAATACTACATTACTTATTTATAATTTCTGATATTACTCAGTTAAATGATTCACAATATTTCAAGTTCTATTAATTTATTCTTTAGAGATGTTGGATCATTATAGATAAGATTTCTAAATAAAATCTAAGGTTTAGCCAAACATTTAAATAGTAAAGGTAAAACTTGATTAAATTATATTAAAAAATCTGTGAAATTCAAAATTTTATCAAAGCTTATAAAAATGATAAAACTATATCAAACATTTAGTAAATTTTTAGCGAAATTAAAAGTTTAAATATTTAATCAAATCCAAAATAAATTTAGACAAGTAACTTTAACTATAGGTAAGATTTTTGAAAAGATTTTATTAGATAATCTAAGTTTAAACTTTCTTTAATAATACCTAATTCTTTAATTATTTACCTATAATGATTTTTATGATTATTATCTGTTTTCAATAAAGGTAAAGACCTCTCAATTGTTAATTGTTGCTATATAAATTCTTATATTCATTTGTGAATGAATCAGATTTCAGTTTTTTTATTTGAAATTAAAATTCTATTTTTTACATATTAGCTATAAGAATTTGTTAATTGAGAAATTGGATTAATTTGAATAGAATGCTATATACTTGAAATAATAGTGGGCTTGATATGTAAAGGGTCATTAAAGTCTCTAAACACTAAGTTTGACATCATATTTCTTAAGATACACTAATCAGAATTAGTTTATATTTTTATATAAACTTGATATATTCTTAATAATATATTAAAGTTTCATTTAATTTAAATTGATAGAAGCTGAAATATATACATAAATGTAAATACATAAATATTTTAATTATATAAAGTTTCTGAATACTAAAATGTAACATTATATATATAAGATTCACCAATTAGATAAAATAAAATTTTCATATATCTATGATATAATCTTAAATAATAATATATCAAATTTTCATTTAATTTGAATTACTAGAAGTTGAGATATAATAATACATAAATAATTTTAATTATAAATTTCAATTAAAGTTAATAAATATATTTTCTAAGTATCTAATGATTCAAATTAAATAAAATTTTAATTAATATATAGAAATTGATTATTAGTAGAAAGGAAAAATCCAAAATTTTTGTTAATTTTTATTATTAAGCTAAATTTATACATATGGGTTGTGATCTAAGAAAATCAAGTTCTGAGAATTTTTTAATTAAATTGAGATTTTATTGCATTTTAATTTTTATTACATTTAGATTAAAATGTAATAAGATATTAATTTTAGTCAAAAATTTCTCAGAAATTGATTTTCTTAAATCACAACCCATATGACCGAAATCAGTCAAGTAGTCCAATAATATAAATTTTGACCAAAATTTGGATTTTCCCCTTTTCTACTGACCACCTCCCATATAAAATTTGAGATGATTTGAATTACTGGTTGTTAAAATATTTAACATAATCTTGTATATTAATTATCTCAAAAATAAGAAATCCAAATCAGTTTAAATTTTAATATTATATATATTAAATTTTATTTAATTTGATTCATTAGATATTTAGAAAATATATTTAATATTCTTTTAAAAACTTTAAAATCTAAAATCTAAAATATTTATGCATTTCCATTTACATAAATATCTCAGCTTTCACCGATTCAAACTAAATGAAATTTTAATATATTATAGGTTGAGATAGCTTCAAGATTATATGGTCAAATTTAACTTTTGGCTGTCCTCTGTAGCTTTATCTTGTAGAAAATTCATTTAATGGCAATTCTTTACCAAATATCTTTGGCTTTTTCGAGCCAAAAGATTTGTAAGGATAAGAACTTTCTACATAATTCTTCAGGCCTGTAGTTAGCTAGTCTACCTATCCGTAGTAAATCCTTCGAAAAGAATTATAGCAGTGTTGGCGGCCATAAAATTTTTTGGCCATTTTTTGGCCGGCAAAATTTTTGCCATTGGCCAGCCAAAATGGCCAAAAATTCTTGGCTAGGCTAAATTGCCAACACTGCTTTCTAGCTAGCCTTTTAAATTTTTGCTAACCTTTTTATACGTTTTCGCTTCACGTTGACAATTCTCAACTCATATAAACTTCTGTCTTTTCGTGTTTGCAAAGTGGAAAATCTTTCATTTATTAAATATAAATAACGTAATAATTGGAATAATTGTAATGAACGAAGAAAAAATATTAACAAAACTATTAATATTAATCCAAATTCAAAGATTAAATTTTTATTACAATATAATATTTTGGGGAAAATGAACCAAACTTTTACATTATTCAAGCTAACACATTCCATAATTCTGTCTCTGTCCGCCTTTTGCATTGTAAGTTTAATATCAACTATAAAAATAAAAAAATTTGTTTTTACTTATTAAAATTTTGAATAAACTTTATCACCATTAATCCAATTATCGGAAATTTTGTTAAATTCTGACGCCAAATACGACCATATTTATTTTCATGCCTTCCATATTTCTTCTCGACTTGATGATTGATCCAATAGTGCAACATTAGTGAAATTTTCTATCCAAAACTCGATAATACCTCCTATCAGTGTTACAATATATCAAATAAAATCTAGCACATTATCTATAATCTCTTACTTACACATTGACTTTATTAAAGAATAATACCTAACGCTAACCAGTAAGCAATCCAATTATATTAATATTAGTGTTACGATTAATCCAATTAACACTACTGATTATCGGTAATATCAAATTTATTTTTTCTACTAGATTCATTAAATGGATAATGAAAATCAAAATCAATATTCTCTTCGTCAATTTCCACCTTTTCGTTATGCCTCACTTGATCTTTTAATTCGATTCTACCATCATCTACTTTTGTTGCCTTATATATATCCAAAAATACTTTACTTTTAAGCTCTTTAGGTAAATACTCTTGATGAACAGTTCCCTCATAATCTGGATTATATTTATATCCATAATTATACCCAAATTCCTACAAGTTATAATAGTTGAGATAAAGTATGTTGATATCCTAACCAAAATATAAAAATTGCTTACTTTCATTAATCCGCTTGGTGCGTTCCTTAAGTGATGTGGCACAGGATAATTATATTCCTCTTGAATGGTTTTCTTAACCTAGAATTAAAGATGATGAATTAAAAACACACACAGCAATTTAGAGTACAAAAAATTCATGTTTTTATTACCAAACCATATGCTTTGTATGATCGCACACTCTTTTTCGCCTCTGATAAATATGTTACACAATGTGCTAAATTAATTTCGCATTCTGGCATGCCAATAAACTGACAAGCTTGATACGTTGCCATTGCCTATTTTTTTTTTTGTTTTTTTAAAAAAAAAGGTTTTCAATTATTAATCTTATCTAAAATGAACAAATTTCTTATAAAGTTTGATGACTTTTATTACTAAGGGTAATGCACTATTATCAGCGAGTCCAACGTCCTCTGATGCAAATACAACCAGCCTTCTAGCTAATAAACAATCATAATATTAAAATTATCGTATGAATGTCAGCTCAAGTAAATGAAGAACAAATCATTTTCAATCAAAATCTTTTCTACGCGAACCTATAAATAAAGGATCTTCTCCTCCAATTAGCATTCGTCCAAGCCAATATAAACTTGCTATTTTATAAGGTATAAATATTGAAATCAATTATGATGTAAATAATGAATTAAATCAATTGATTAGGAATTTCACCGTTCGCATCGCTGCAAAATATTAAAATTAGTTCGACTATTAAATTTTAATACCAAATTTGATCGATAAAAATTATTCATTTACCTTCCACGCATACTTTTATGTAATGCGCTAATGATATTATAGTGCTCTTCACCATCTTTATCGTAGTTTAGATGAGTTTTTTGGAAAACACATTTAATATCTTCTTTGGTAATATTTTTCTTAAGTATCTCCGGTTTAATATTAATGGCTATTTCCAATGCATTAAGTGCAACCCGTGCATCACCATCGCTCATCACCGCCAAATATCTTAATGCCTCTTCATTCACTTGATTATCGTCATTTTCAGACAACAAAGTTTCATCTGATGTTTCAGTTTGTTTGCTTTGATGCCTTTGTTTTCGAATTTCGTTTAATGCTCTTTTTAGGATGGTCAGCACTTCATCTGTCGTTAGTTTGCTCAAAACGACGACCTTACATCGACTGAGTAGTGCCGAATTAATTTTAAAAGAGGGATTTTCTGTGGTGGCACCTATAAGCGTGACACCTCCAGATTCGACGTATGGAACTAAAAATGTAATTAATAAAATTTTAGTCTAAATTGCAATCGAACATATAATTTTAAATAAATTTATGCTTACGAAATAAATCTTGTTGTGCCTTATTAAATCGATGTCTAAATAATTAACAAGATATATTGATTAACTATAGCTACGAATGATATATCAATATAGTGATTAAAAAAAAAGAAATTACATTTCATCCAAAATAATTATTGTGCGCCGGCCTGATAATTTTTGCTCATTTTTAGCTTCGTCAAATGCTTTCCTAATTAATAATAAAATTTAACCAAAGACATTTTTAAATATATTCCAAAATAATACGTACCTTATATCAGCAGTAGCTTAAAAAAAAAACCGAATATTAACATTAAAAGTTGGATAAAGACCAAGAATTATCAATTGCAAAGTCGAATGAAAAAATAATTACCATGTGTAATTCCGGAAAATTCTTTACATGTAGATTGGGTTATCTTTGCTATGATCTTTGGGTGAATGGCAATATTATATCATCAGAATTCATAATTAATGAATTCAATAATAACAAAATTTTGAATCACCTTTGCAAGTGTTGTCTTTCCCACACCGCTTGGCCCCCACATTATCATCGAACTGAAAAAAAAAATTAGTTTTAAAAAAGTATTCTCGAGATGATAAAAATTGAGATTGTAACACTTACGGTATTTTGTCATGCAAGATTAAACTTTTCAAAAACCCATTTTCACCAATTAATTCATTTTGTCCTATAAAGTCTTCCAAATTATTCGGTCGAACTTAAAATATCGAAAATAGAAGGCAATGATTAATAATAAAAATCTTAATTAAATACAGTTTATTTAAGATAATAAATACCTCTTGCCGCCAATGGCACCACATCAACTTTTGTATTGATTGTTTTAATTTGTTTGCTAGGGCGACTACTAGACAAAGTAGCTGACTGTGCGACATTATTTTTTTCTTGATTAATGGAAAAAGGAGATTGAATGCTTTGTGAAGTACTACTTAATGATGTTTGTTCGATATCATCTCTATTCCTGCGTTTTACCGATTTAGGGGCAAAGAAATCATTCTAAAAAAAGAAGAGATATATTTTATATTTTATTTTTTGAACTAATTTAAATTATTTTTTTCATTACTACCTTTGCCATTAAAGTTATCTTTTTGGTAGGAGTATTCTTCGTTGAATGTTTAGTACTTTCAACTCCAGGGTTCGCGGGTAGTTTACAACCACTGTCGATATGTTCATTAACTTCCGATATGTCAACAGTTTGGTCACACACTGGACATTTCACTTAAAAGTTATAAACAAACAAACGTTTTGAAATGATTAAACTCTTTTCTATTAATTGGGGTAATGTTAAAGATTATATACCCATAGTACTCATATCATTATCATTCGAAGCCATTTTTTCAAAATATGAAAATTTTGAGATTAGATGAACAAATTGAATTCGATAACGAGAAAGCTTATATAACCTGAACTTCATCCGAATAAGGAATTTGTGTTCCATGTTGTTAGAACTACCAAACGTACGGATGATTAAGATCAGCATATAGCCTTGATCGGAAAAGAAAGTAACCAATCAATTTCTGATCGGTCAATAAAAAATCGTCATCGGTTTTGATCACGATCCGGTCCGATCTAGAAATGAACAGTTGTTAAATAACTTCGGATATTGAAATTAAAAAGATTTATCTTCTCTTTCGAATTTTAATTCTCTCATTATTTATTTTACTTTTAATTGTTTATTTTATTTTTAATTTATTTATTTATTTTTTTTTTTAAAAAAAAAATCAATGGGAAATACACCATCAACGAATAATAACAATAATAACCAACCCGGATTGCAAGTAACAAGCGAACATCGTAACGGAACTTCACCAGAAGTAATTCGAGAAGAACCTACAAAACCTGTTGCAACTGGTCAACCAATCAAGAGTTCGTTTCATGATTTCGGTTCAAATTCTCCTTTCGTCGGTTCACCTTTGCTTTCACATGAAGAGTATAAAAAATTCGATGGATATTATGGAAACAGTCAAGATGGAAGTTTGGCTTCAAGTTTTAACGAAATTGACATTTTAACCGGATTGAGTAGTTCATCTTCAAAAACTACATCTTCCCGGCGTTCATCTATTGTGACGGCAGAGCCGTCTTACAAGAATTCTAATAAAATTATTCATGATTTCGGTTCTATTGGAGGGTTAGCACCAATGACAAGTGTTAATGCACAAGGTTTATTTTCCTTGGGAGAGAATAAAACATCCCTTTTGGACACTAATGACAGAAACATGCTTTGATGTTCCGTACAATGTTTTAATTCATTTTCCTTTATTTTATTTTATTTTTTTTAAATTGGATTTTACGTAGACGCAAAAGTAAAAGGAATTCCCACTATCATTACCTGGAGTCAAGGTGGCAATAGCGTATTTGTTACCGGTACTTTTAATGATTGGAAGTATAATGTAAGATTAAATAAAAGGTTCGTGTCTCCTTTATTTTTTTGATATTTTTTTATATATGTATAATATATGAATAATAAAGTTAATTTCATTATTTTCGCGTAGCACGAATGACTTTACCACCGTTATCAATTTACCACCTGGAACACATAAACTTAAATTTATTGTAGATGATGAATGGAAGTGTTCTAATGACCTTTCAACGGCGACGGAACCAGATGGAAATTTAGTCAATTACTTAGAAGTTTATGAAGACGATGATTGTAATTCTATAGAAAAAGAAAGCTTAGACTCCGATGGTAAACAACTTTTTTTATTAAAAAAAAAATATATAAATAGTAAAAATAAATTATTCTAATCAAACTTTCTGATTTTAGGATTTCTTTCGAATTCTCCTCCTGGCGAATATAGTGATGACATCCCTGGATATCTTCTTGCATATGCTCATTCTCTTAGCGTAGCAGAAAATAACTTAAAAAGCTTGGATGATCCTTTTGAACATCAGGAGTGCATGGCTGAAGATCAGCCACCTACTTTACCACCTCATTTAGAAAAGGTTATATTAAATAGTTCGACCGTATCTAAGGTGGATAATAGTGTGCTTCCCGTACCTAATCATGTTGTATTGAATCATTTATACGCTTGTTCAATACGAGATGGTGTTATAGCCGTGGCCGGAACCACAAGATATCGTAAAAAGGTAAAAGATGATATATTGCATTGTTTAATTATATTATTAAAATAAAAAGCTCACTTTATAATCATTTTATATTTCAGCATGTTACCACAGTTTATTATAAACCTATTGTTATATAGAAAATAAATACTTTGTTTCAAAGCATGTTATTTATTACAGACATCCGCATATCTATACATCTTAAATATTTTGATAAATTGTTCTCATCAATAATTTTAAATATAGTTTTCAAAAATAAAACGGATATCCTAAAACTGTTGCCAAGGTTTAAACTGAACTTTTATCAAATCCAAGTTCCTCTAATAACTCGTCAACCTTCTCTCTATAATCATTCAATAACTTTTCGGTTAAGCTCTGATTTGATTTAATGTTATCTCCAAGATTATTGATCCGTTTTCCTTCATCCTTATTTTCACTTGTAATATTCCTACAACAATTATCTTTTACGGTGTTTGTTGTATCTGACATACAACTACATTTATCATTTTGAGAAGATACAATATTTCGAAGATAATCTTTCGTAAAAACCTTTTCGGCTGTCAAATTATAAAGATCATTTTCTAACAATTTTAATCTATCAAAAGTCGAACGATTTGGTAAATTTTGGATTTTGAGTTTATCATTATTTTCTTCATTCATCAAAGGCGTGTAAAGCTCCAATAAGGTACTTCAAAAAAACAAATGTAATTTATCAGATCAATAAGGGTGGATGTAATGATGTAAATCGTTGATTACTCACTTTAACAACCCTCTTAATCTACCAAATTCCATGCCCAAATTTACTCCTTCAACATATCCGTTATTGAATCCATCTTGAATTGTAACATCTTTTCCTTCTAAAATTCCCTCTTTATATCCAAACTACATAAAGTAAGTTTTTCTTTTTTAAAAAAAATTAAAAAAAAAAAGAAAATTATAAGAATACGATTTTATTTAAATAATATAAATAATACATTTCCGAAATTTTCATTCATACGTTCCCATTCTTTTAAAGACATTATTCTATCATATTCAGATATATCTTCATCTGAAGCCCAAACATCATCACCTTCGGAAAGCATTTTTTTTTTTTCGAATGAGAAATGATGATGATATAAGGGGGTTTTATAAAGTATTTACATCAACAAAAAAAGCTTGTGTAACAAATTTAACTATGTTCGGATAAATTAATTGACGAAATTTATTATTTATATTTTATTCTTATAACTTATACAAAAAACCTTCTCACTAAAATCACTAAATTGCATGAATAACTCTTTCGTTGATTTTATCCATTTTTGCTTTTACACCAGCGGTAATTTCATTATTTTGTAATCTCATTAAAGCCTTTTTCATATTCGTTAGATGGATTTCAAGAGGAATATCAACCAAAAGACGTAACACCGTTGCTTCGCGTAAAAATCCTAATTGTTGTTGGAATTTAATAAGATATCCACTGATCAAAGAGATTCTTTCAACCGCAACCTTTCTTTTATTATCGAGATTTTTAAGTAACTTTAGATTATTCTTGAAAATTGTTTTTTCTACATGGTTACCACCAAGAATCGACCAAAGTTCGGAAAGCAATTCCGCTTCACTCATTTGTTGTAACGATTCTTCTTGACCGGTAATATCGCGAATGCCATCTTGAATTACATCGAGCTTTTTGAGTCTTTTTTTTTTATTACAAAGTAAAATCAATATAATATACTTAAAATGTGATAAATAATTAAAAATTAAAAAAAAATTTACTTACATGTTCAATGTATTGTCTGTAGCTACAATAAGTTTTCGAAGATCATCATCAGTCAATTTCATAAGCATATCATGATGTTTATTCAAATCTCTTTCTTGTCTTGGACTAATAATTTTTCCACTGAAATCTTCAATAGTCTTCAAAGTATATGAAATATAAGTTATTGTGTTATCCAAAGAAGTTTGAGCTCTAATTTGTAAAGTTTGAAGATCACTATTTGCTTCAAAACTTGTATCTGCGAATTCTTTCAATTTTAGAGATAAAATTTCTTTGGATTTTAAATCAGAATATTTAACGATTAACATTAAGTCTTTTGTCGCTAATTCGGCTCTTTTAATATCATGAGCTAATGAACCTTCTGCATCAAGTTCTGCCGCCTGTTTCAAAAGCCGTTCTTGCGCTTCAATTTGCGCGTCGACAATAGCAGAAAAGTTGGGAATAGCTAATTTACAAAATGAAAAAACCAATTCAGAATAAGGGGTATGATTACAGATTAGATCTGTAGCTGGAAAGTAAAGTATGCCAAAAATCATTGAAATAAAATAGAATGAAAACAATCCAATTATAGGTATCAAAGCGATTTTAGGTTTTGGGATTGCTTTAACGTTTTCCCAGTATTCTAAAAAAATAATTTGGTTAATAAATAAAAATTCAAGTTTAGCATTGATAGATAGTTTAAACGATCGATTAAAATGATGGCAGACGTTTTCATTTCAAATTAAAAAAAGTTATATACCTTCTAGCTTAAATAAAGTATGTTGAGAAACATATTTTCCAAGAAATTTATATTCATTATTTTGACTCTGTTCAGCTTTTGTTTCTTCAGTGTTATTTTCGTCTCTGTTTTTTTCAGAAGTGAATTTTTCGTCAGTACTTTTTTCGTCAGTGTTTTCTTCACTGCTTCTTTCGTTTTCTTCAATTTCATGTCTAGCGTTAATGTCTGTCAAATTCTGTGCATCCGAACTAGAATTCTCTTGCGGTTCAGCGTTAACGTGCATTTTTTTATCTCTTAGAACAACACAAAAAAAAGGGTTTATGTGGGATTGACACAATAATAGGATGTTAAACGATAGGAGCGATCCGATCATCTGACCGATCTGGGATCCGTTACCTATGTTTTAAGAAATTACTGCGCTTTGTTTATTGAGGAGACGATCCGTTAAAAGGGTAAAATAAGATAATCACACCAATTCACAATTTCGGCTTAAAATTAGACAAAGGACACAATTATGCTAATTATTAATTGTTCATAAATAACTTTTTCGTTTTGTTTACATAACCCGTTTCTGATAAGCTTATTCGAAAGATAATTACCGCGTTGTTATATAATGTTGTGTCGTAATTGTAAATGCCTCTGGAAAGGTTTTAATTTTTATAAAATATTTTTATTTAAAGGCAAAAAAACCCCCCCCCCCCCCCAATTTACACTTATCTTTATTTCTGCTCTTTGTTTATTTTTTAACCTAATTGAATCTGACCCCGAAAAATTCTGATCATCTTATCTATCATTTCCTAATATGTATAGCCTAAATTTAACGGAAATTTTTAATTTTTTGAATATAAACTGTATACAGCTTCTAAAATCGCATTTTATATTGTATTTTGGCTTGCTCTACAAGTTTGATTAGGGTTCTTAAGAAGGTTTTAAATGCCATTTTTTAGAAAATTAATTATTTACAAAATAACATATAACAAGTCAAAAATTGCATTTTAAAATCATCTTTTTATTCTAAGTGAACTTGCAGAGCAGGCAAAAATATATTAAAAAGATGTAATTTTTAAAGTTATATAAAATTTGTGTTGGGCTATATCAAAAATCAGTTTTTTTCGATAAAGTTATATTATCAAATTAAAATCATATGGGACCTTGCATAGAAAAGGGGTAAACTACCTATTACTAATTACAAAAATCACAATGATGACAATCATTGTCTTTTTAAATTTCATTGTTTGGTAGTTTCCCCTCTTTCTATGCAAAGGCCCTATATCTTCTCCTGTCTTCAAGGAACTTGTGGCATATCTAAGTGAACGCAAAAATAAATCATTTTGGAATTTTCTTTCTTATAATCGAAGCATTATCGTTACTTCGTCAAAGTTAGTACCCTTAGAAAACTCGCGGGAGCTTGATAACTCTTGGGCCGCACATTTTTTGACAGAAGCAAGGAATTTGTTAGATCGAAGCAATTATGATATTTTAAATGAAAAGATGCGTATTTTTTATTTTGCAAAGAAAGGTTCGATCGCATTTTTTAATCAGGAGAATTACTGAATGTAACGACTTGGTAAACACTACAAAATCTTCTATTCAGGCACTCTATTTTTGTTATTGTCTGTCTGGAAGAGGAATAAACCATGTACCTTTCTTTATCACTAAATGAAAAAGTCAGCGCGCTCCAACAATACTTTCTTATAATAGGTCAAGAGGAACGTTCGCGAGATGCGGCCAATGTGGTATCATTCAGGAGCACAAGAAGGTATGTTGACTTATGTTATTCAGATCTTGTCAGACTTATAAGTTCAAAACTTGGTTATATGGCTTCTAATATCATTTATAAGATTGGACCTTTCAATTATACGTAGCCGAAGGGGACCGTATTTACTTTGCCCTCGCTGAATTAAGTAAGAATATAATAATGATAAGGACCGAGCTTGCTAGAATTACTGATAAATGGGAAAAAGGGAAAAGTAAAAGGCCTGAGTCAACATCGGATATTAGTGGAGACGTTGGTAACGACTTTAATAAAGAAGAAGGCACAAATAATAGTGTCTCTTCTGGTACTACATGGGTGCTAAAACCGGATGGGGAAATACTAATAATAAACAAGGTTGTGGAAACGAAATTTTGAGAAATGAAAAACACAATAAAGGGCCTGATGACGATAACTGTACGGAATCCAATAAGGTGCAAGAACAAACTACAAAGTCCAACGAAAAAATAAGAAAACACCACCCTTAACACGTGAAGTTAATCCTCGAAATAAAAGGCGGGTTAATTATAACGAGGGTTCTCCATTGAGGAAGCGCTGTAAAAAGCCTGTTAAATTTGTTGTACCATATGATGGATTATGACATTTAACTTTTGCTTATGTTTATAGGTCCCACAAATATCCCTACCATCAGTGTTGTACACGGACGTTGTCCCGGTGATTTTTGGGACAGTTGGGACATGGACCGATATTAGATATCTTTTGGAATTAACAAGAGATATGGTCAGCATTAATGCGGACAAAAATTCCCGGACATAAAAAAATCTCGGACATGGACACGGCCGGTCTGGTCCATGTCCGTGTCCGCGTCCCATGACCAACACTGACTACCATCACCATCACCAATACCTTCTTCACCACCGTCACTACCTTGCCTAAAATGCCCTCGGCATTGTTTTTAATTTAATTTTATTGTACATTATTTTGTTTGCTATGCATTATCCCAAATATTGAATTCTTAAGTAATCTAAATTAGCGTTCAATTGTTCTTTTTCAGTTTGCTGAACTCGTTTATTTTCCAGTTGATTTTCTGCGTAATAAATGAAACGGAATTTTTTTTTTTTGTTTTGGATGATACATAGGAATTTATAATTAATACCATTCGTTATTTAGCGAAAGAATCTGTAAACGCAATTCAACAATTGTATAATCTCAAATAGATTTCTGTTAATTTTAATCCCCAAGAAATGAAATATATTTTTTTTTGTATGCTACTAGCTAAATTATTAAAATATTGAGCTCAAAACCTAAAACCGGTCTAAAAATCGGTTTAAGAATCGTCTTCGGTCCAATCTCGGAACTGATTGACATTAAAATTGTCTCTTTCGATGTCAGGTACCATCCATAATTCTTTGAATGTTTTGCCAACATTTATCGCGTATAAATTACCTTTAACATATCATTAATTAATTCATTCAGGTTGACCGAGATCGGATCATTAGAGATGTCAATTTAAAGCACAGACGACCTGTTGTGTTACTTGATCTTCATAAATCCGATTGACATAGATCTTGATGTTTTTTTGTCGTATTCTACGATTTCCTTTAACGTTTAAGTTAACATATCAAAAATTCAGTGTTATGTCCTCACCTGAAGAACAACCAACAAAAAAGGTTCGTTTAAATTCAGGAGGGTCGATCTCATCAAATGATGTAATAATAAATAACAAAGCTAGTTCAGAAGGAAAGATGGCTCGTGAAGTGGATGTTGGAATTACTGAATTTATTGATCCAACAATTCCTGGTTTTTCTGGTGTTATCAAACAAAGGTAACTAATACTAATGATTATAATTTATCGAATTATCTTGTTAATTAATATTAATATTATAATTATTTGTCTAGATTCTCCGATTTTTTGGTTTATGAAATTGATAATTCTGGAAATATCGTTCATCTTACAGATTTCAATCTTCCAGAAGTAAAATCTACAAATAATTTCAATGCTCGAGCCATTGAGACACTAAAAGATGAACTTGTTAAAAAAGTAATCATTTAATTAATTATGATTATTTTAATGAGGAATATATTTTTAAGCATTAATTTTATTAGGAATTATCAGATGAACAAATATTTCAGGAAATGAGAACTTTGCTTGATGAAGAAACTTCATTTCAAGTTCAAAATTTACTAAATGGTCAAAATGAATTCGTCGATACAATGGTAAATATCTATTTTTCATTTATCTTTTTTAAATCCATTTATAAAATAATTTTTTTTTTAGGTTGAAAAAGATAAAGAAAAGAGGACAGCTATTCATCAATTCTTTAAGAATTATTTTGGAAATAAGTTGAACACAGAGACAAAAGATGGTACAATAAGAATCAGTATGCACACTAACGAGACGAGGAAAGGTTGGTATATGGTTTATTTCTTTGTTTAGTTCATTTACAAAATAATAACTTTATACATTTATTTACAGACAGAAGAAATAAACAGCAAAAAAATGACGCTTGGGATGCATTGGGTGGAAGTTTTTGTCAGTTTACTTTATATAAAGAAAATATGGATACTATGGAGGCCGTCAACTCTTTGAAGAAGCTCTTAAAGTGTGGCTTTCATTAACTTTTCAAAATCTAATTTGTTAAATTTGATTAGGTTAATTTATATATTTATATTTATTTATTTTAGAGTTCATTCAAAAACATTTTCTTATGCTGGTACGAAAGATCGTCGCGCCATAAGCGTTCAGAAGATAACCGCAAATAGGATAAAGGCTGAAAGATTGCTTGGAATAAATCAAAAATCTAGAGGAATGAAATTAGGAAATTTTGAGTATGTTGATTTAATTTAAATATCAAATTTATTTATTAAATTTTAAAAAGTTTTTTTTTTCCCTTTTTTAGATACGTTAAGGATCCATTGAAACTTGGTGACTTGGGAGGAAATCATTTTGTGATTACGTTAAAGTAATTTATAAAATAACTTTTATCTTTTAGATTAATGTTTGCATTATTTAAATTTACGAATAATTGTGAATTATATCAGAAATATTCAAGTAGGAAACGAGGAAATAATTACAAAAGCCATGGATTCTTTGCAATCACATGGATTTATTAACTATTTTGGTGATAAATCAAATAAATCATATGCTATTAGCAACTATATATTTTATTTTTTTCTTAATGTTAATTCACTTATTAGGCATGCAAAGATTTGGTACTTCATCCATTCCCACATTCCATATTGGTCGTTCACTTTTACAAAATAATTGGGAAGAGGCTATCGATTTGATTATGAAACCACGACCCGGAGGTAATTTTCGTTAGGCTCACTAGATTATTATTTATTTATTTATTTTTAAAAAAAATTTGATTTGCTTATATCTTATTTAGATCGACAGGACCTTCAAATAGCAAGGCAACATTGGATAGAGAATCATGATCCGAAAAAGGCATTAGAATTGTTTCCTAAAAAATGCATCGCAGAGACTTATATATTAAACTATTTTACAAAAACTGGTCAAATTAAAGATTATGCTGGAGCCTTTGCAACAGTGAGTTAAATTACATTTTCAATTTATTTCATAAATAAGAATTTCAATTAAAGAATTTATCTCTTATTTAGATACCAAGAAATTTACGTCTTATGTATGTACATGCGTATCAATCATATGTCTGGAATAGTATAGTTTCGGAAAGAATACGCATATATGGTTGTGATGCTCCGATTGTAGGCGATTTGGTCATTATAGATGAAGATCCGAATGCAAATATAAATGATGATGATCTAATAGATGATAGTGTTATTGTTAATACAGATGATAAAAAGGTGATTAAATTATTTATATAATTTTATAAATGTTCTATATATTTTTTTTAACGATACTTTTTAATCAGGAGATTAAAGTGAAAATACTCACTGAAGAAGATTTAAAGAATTACTCGATTTTTGATGTGGTGTTACCTTTACCTGGATATTCTGTTGTTTATCCGAATAACGTCATATTTGAGAAATATAAAGAACTAATGTGGAAAGATCGATTGGATCCACGTGAAATGAGAAGAAGTAACAAGTATGTTGAATTTATATATATTGATTATTAAGCTTTTAGCTGATGGTTATTATTTCTATAGGGACTTTTCTTTATCTGGATCATATAGGAAATTAATGGGAAAACCAAGCGATCTATCATGGTTAGTTTATAATGTTATATTAGGTTCTCTTAAGATCTTATATTTTAATTGGTATTCCAATTATAGGAAATTTTTTAAATATGACGATTCAAATGTATCATTGGCCTTAACTGACATAGATTTGTTGGATGGAAAGTCCGAACCAGAATCATTAACAGGTATTAAACTTATTTAATATTTATTATTAATAAATAATTACATGTTGATTTAATAACATCTATTTTCATTTTATACAAAATAATAAATGATTTAATAAGGTGGCAAAAATCTTGCATTGAGAATCAATCTTTCTTTAGCGGCTAGTTCATATGCGACTATAGTATTAAGAGAATTAATGAAAACAACAGAGAAGATAGAAGATAAAGAATAGTATTTATTTTAAATCATGATGATTATCAAATATGAAAACGAATAACTTATAGTAATGATCGACATGATTAGTTAATCTTCTTTCACTTAATAATTTTATGCAGATCAAATTTGTTTCAAATAAAAATTCCTATATTTTTTGTTAAATTTTTTTATTTAAAAAAAAAAATTCGTAATTTATTCAATTCTTTACAATTTTTTTTAATTTTCATAATGTCAGGTAATTTTGAATTAAACATTTCCGAGATACGAATGATTTAATATTCTAAATATTTTATTTATTTTATGAAAATAGTATTTGCGGCAGAACGTGCTGTTGCTATTAATGCAGTTTTACAAGCCAGTAAGGTTTGCCAAAAAGTATTCAAACAACTTGTTAATAGTGAGACAATAACCAAAAAGGACAAAAGCCCAGTAACAGGTACAAACTTAATATATACAAAAATTAATTGAAGAGGAAATTAATATCCGAACTCCTTTATGTTTATAGTTGCCGATTTTAGTGCACAAGCTGTAGTGAATACAATTTTATATCATTCTTTTCCGAATGATCCAATTATCGGAGAAGAAGATACTAAAGATTTACGCTGTGAATCAGGAAAAGAGTTAAGAGCGAAAATTCTCTCTTTAACTAATTCCGTATTAGATGATCCATTAGATGAAACAACGGTATGATAATATCGCATTACTTATGTTACTGCGATAAACAATAATCACTTATTAAAATTTTATATGAAAGTTATTGGATGCTATTGATCGAGGATCTTATCCCGGTGGTTCACAAGGAAGTTCGTAAAAGTTTGGTGATTCTTTTTACTGTATCAAATTCTTATATTCTGATATGTAAATATATATATTTTTTTTATAAAAAAAAAAAGGAATGTGGACACTTGATCCAATCGACGGCACAAAAGGATTTTTACGTGGTGAACAATTTGCAGTTTGTTTGGCATTACTAGTAGATGGTAAAGTAAAACTAGGAGTTATGGGATGTCCTAATTTACCAGTAGATTCCAAAGTTCCAGAGGGAGAAAAGGGATGTTTATTTGTTGCAGAAAAAGGTCAAGGAGCATTTCAGGTTATTATCTTCTTTACTAAAACTATCATCAGCGATTTATTATTATCTTATTCAATATTTATTAATTTGTTTTAATAATAGAGGAAATTTTCTTCAACGGAAGAAACGAAAATCCAAATGGCCAATATTTCTTCAGTATTAGACGCATCATTTTGTGAATCGGTTGAAGCAGCACATTCATCTCATGGTGATGCTGCAAAAATAGCATCACTTCTTGGTATTACTAAATCACCTATTCGTATGGATAGTCAATGCAAATATTGTTCAGTAGCCAGAGGTGATGCCGATATTTATTTACGTTTACCGACTCGGGATGATTACGAAGAGAATATATGGGTATACATTTTTTTATATTTTAAGGTATGATGAATTTATATTTACTAATGAAAATTTTTTAATTACATAATAGGATCATGCGTCCGGATTTCTCTTAGTTCAAGAAGCCGGCGGTATTGTTTCAGACATTTATTCAAAACCATTAGATTTTTCTTTAGGAAGAACTTTAAAATCTAACAAAGGTGTTGTAGTTAGTTATTCTAAAATATCTTCTCAAGTTATTGAAGCTGTACAAAAAGTGCTTTTGAAAAAATAATTTTACATAAATTTTATGAAAATATCTGGAGCAATTTTAGATATATTATTATTTGTTGATTTATAATGATTAATTAAAATCATTTGAAATTTACTTTTTTAAGTTATTGATCTTTATTTGATGCTCCATTTTCTTAACTCTTTGATATCAATTTTAGGATTTTTTTTTTTTCTCTTTTGTTCCAATAATAAATATAGTAATATATAGTAAATGGTTTGAAAAGCAAAAAAATAACATGGCATAAAACTTTATTCAATTTCAAATTTCATTACGCATCTGAACATAAACTTTGATTGATTCTAAATCGATATTGGTTCGAACTTTCATACAGATTATTTTTCCTTAGTGACAAAGAATCCAATTGATGAACTTGAAATTAATAAGCTCGTAATTTTAGATTCTCACTCTAATTGCCTAATCCAGATATTCTGCGCCAACTAGTTTGTCGTTCTGACACGTCATTACTACTATGACTCGATGATACATAATGAAATCATATTTAAAAAAAAAAAAATTTAAGTGCAAAAATATTCATCGTATTCATCGTATTCATCGTATTTATCGTATTTGCAAAAGTATCTGGAAAGTTATTTTTGTTATTATTACACGTCTCATGCAAAAGTATAAAGTATAAATCAATTCTATAATATAAGAACACGTGTAACTTTTAGCAAAATCAAACCTTCCTAGCAAGAAAAATATTTATTTTCTGCAAAGAACTTATCAAAAAAATAAAATATATTCTTCTTTAACGAGCAAAGAGTGGATGTGTCTAAGTGTGGAAGTAACTCTCCCCACTTCCTTCGTGGAAATTTTCCAAAATTCCTTCGAGGAAGTTTTTTCCTCCACTTCCTTCGTGGAAGTCAAAGTCTCCTTCATTTTTTTGAAATTTTTTCCATTGAAATACTTTTTCTCTTCATTTCCACTCTCACTTCTTTTGATTGATATTTGAAACCTACTTCTAACCTAAACTTTTTGTTTTCTAGTGTTTAGATATTCGTGTTGCTCAAAAGTCGAAAATTCAGTTTACGTTGAAGGGTTTAACATTTACTGAAATGCAGAAATGGGCTAAAACTATTACTGAAATTTCTATAATTAATATAATAATTTAATTGGTAGTTGATAAAATTTATTGTTAATAAATTTGAGTTGGATCTTTAGTTCCATTTCAAAAATCATCCTTTTTTAGACTAACGAATGGAAGAAATTTCTAGGGATGTTAAACGGTCCCAAATGATTAAGAAATTACGAGTTATAGAAAAGTCTAATCGTTGATAAAAAATTATAATTAATTTTATGAATAACTTTTAAAACTTTGAAATCGACAATTTTCATGGGGGGACCCGGTCCTTAGGACCGGGTCCTATGTTTCATAAAATTAAGATTCTATTTCCGCATAAGTTTAATAATAAATATTCAATTAATACATAATCACATCATCATTAGAAAGTAAAATATACCGCCAGCAAAATAAAAATCTTCTCTAGAACTGGCAAATTGATTGGGACTTTTAGGACCGTTTAACATCCCTATGAAATATAAAAAGTTCTCAATTATGTGTGATGAAGTATACAATTACTATGAGAATAATTGTCTTGCGTTAAAACTATTTTATAATACTTTGATTTTTTTAAATCTTAACAACGAAGATTTAAGACCAAAGTCATTTCCTTTTAAAATGTTGTAAGAGCCCCTGTATCAAAATCTTTCACGGAGGGATAATGGTAGACATTTTCGGTTTGAATAAATAATAACATTGAGGAAAAAAATTCAAAAATTTGCAATGCCTCATTTACAATCTTTAAGATTTTCTTAGTAAATTCGTAACGCACATTGATTTATGTTGATAAAAATTTTAGTAATTGGTAAAAAGTATTATGACATATTCTTTAACAACGTTTAGAGATTTAATAAATTTTTCAGGCAGAGAATGTAAAAAAGAATTTATAAATTTTGTTTATTTTGTCTATGTATAAATTATTAAATATATATATAAAAGAAAGGAAAAAAAGGTGAAATTTATTAAATTAAACTATTGTATTAGGGGGGTTTTTTTTTTCAAGATTAAATTAGTATGTTAATAATATTATTGCTGAGAACATCCATATCGAGAATGTAAATATTCTTCATCTTCATTATAGTCATAATTATAATACTCATCATCGTAAACTAAAACATCCAATTGCCCATCTTCAATGTGATAATTCATCTTTTCAAATTCTTTATCATTTTCTTCACCTTTCTTATCTTCTTCAACATTATTGTTTTGAAAAAAGATCGTTAAACCAAACTTATAACTGATATTTTTTTTTGATGTCGGTAAAGCATCTTTATCTTGAGAAAAATAATTAATTAACTCATCTTGGGAAGACAAGTTCATTTCATTACCTCCTGTTCCCAAATAAGTTAAACTAAAATCAATATTTGCGGGTATATTAAATTGTTCCCGAATCTTTATGCTAAGCTGATTCCATGTTGGCTTTATACTCGTTGTTTTTATCACGAATGTTGTTGGTGAAGAAGTAGGCGCAAATGAAGTTGATAGTATACTCGGAAATATTAATCGTCGAGTTATCGTTAAATTAGGTGGTGAAATTGGAAGTGGTATTGGTGGTAGTTGAGTCAATTGATTTAAAACTTCTAATGGTGGTGGTTTATATGATACTTTGAAGACCATAGACATAATAAAGGATTATTTTAAGCAAAAAATTATGAAAAAGGTTTATTATCTGGTCAAGGTAAATTAATGTAGTAAAAGAAAGAGTATTTTTTTTGACCCTTATTCCGCTTAATTAAATGAAATAAATATGGACATTCGTTATCAATTTATGGAAAGGATTTACATTAAATTCATATAAATATATACAGATTATCCAAAAAATTTACTTAAATACGTTACTTTCACTTCAAAAGCAAACAATGTCGGTATTATTTTATGGAACACAATTTCTTTTTTTTAAATTTTTTTTTTCTTAAAAAAAAAGAAAGTAAAGAAGGAAAAAAAAAAAGGATTTTTTTTTTCAGGTCTTACATTATATTAAAGTTTTCGAGAATGCGAGATGTAGATCAGTGAAAGAATTAAGGTTTTTCTATACATACCGTTATTAAAGATTCAAATCTTTCTTGATATCAGGTGGTATTACATCATGCGGTATTTCGATCAAATCAATCTTTTTGCTTTTCGTCTAAATTTTTTTCGGGATTTATATTTAATTAAAAAATTTTTGATGCTTTGTACTAATAATCTATACTTTATAAAATGATAATCAGTTGTCCTAACCTAAATTTAAAAAAAATGGACCATTGTGTTTATATTTCGGGAAAGTATCTCTCTTCTTTCAATGCATTTATCAACATAAATTTAGAGAAATCTTGATAGTTAATTTTTCAAGAGCAAATACGATAAAGCTTGCGCTATCGATCAAAAATAAGCGAAAATTTCTTGTTACATCCGTTTTCCATTTTCATCCATTCTAGGATTTAAGTCTTATTTTATAAACAAATAAATAATGTTTTCGCTGAATGTGGCGGATGTACTCTTTTCCTTAAAATCTGATATTTTATAACATCGTACATGTGCTTTATTTCTTTCCAACGTTACATCTCACATCAACCACGTGCGAAAGATTGAATTTTCAATAATAATTGGCTTATAAATTTAATATAAATATTTATAAAATATTAAATAATTTCATTTTTTTTATATACATCATTAAAAAAATTATATATGAGATTTATAAATATAATAAATTAAGAAAGTTATTTAATAATTATTATTTAAAATAAAGAAATTTATAAAAAAAATAAATATAATTTTTTTATAAAAAAGAATCTGATAAATGGAAAAATAATTTTAGTAATAATTATAATTTACTTATAAAATAAAAAAGTTTTAAGAAACAATTTATTTTTCTTTAATATATATAAAAATCATTAAAGACAAAATTTAACTCTGATACTTATAATAATCAATTTTTTTAAAAAAAAAATTAATAATAAGAATTAATTAAAATTATCTTATATTAAAAAATAGTATTTATTAAAAATATGATTTTTTTGAATTATAATAAAAAAAAAAGGAATAAAAGATTAAAAATTATAATATAAATAGATAATATTATAAAAAAATAAAGAATAATAAGAAAGTTATATATATAAGATAAAATTATAGGATCAAAAGAGTATCAAAGTATCATAAAAGCTTAATTTTAAAATAAAATAATGCAATATTTAAGGAAAAATAATAATATTAAATTACAAAAGTAGCAATATTTAAAAATATATAATAATTAAAATTTTTTATTATTTCCTTTAAAAATAATTAATTTATAAAAAATATCAATAATTTGTAATATTTGAAGTAAATCTACAAATAATTAGTTCACATCTGATCAGTATGTTTTTTTATAGTTAAAATCTTATGAGAATATTTTAGGTAAAAAGCATTTAATCATAATTTAAATTTTAAATAATATATATTCAATGTTTACATTCTTGGATTTTTAATATATCGAAAGTTATTACTTGAAATGCAATTTAATTAGTAATTATACAAAAAATTTTTTATTTAATAGAAAGTTGTGACAAAAAAAAATCTTTTCTACTAAATATGTGAATAATGTGATATTTTAACAAACAAATATACAGTGACTTACAAAAGAAATGCAAGTAGAGATGCTTGCCTTTAAAAGCTTATAACTCATCAATCACAAATACTAGAAATATGTTTTTGTATTTGTTTAAATCTCAAAACCTAGCTAATATTCATTAAAAATTTGAAGTGCAATTATTAAGACAAATTTTACGCAATTTAGCGATTTACATCAATTATTCTTACTTAATGAAATTTAATATTTTTCAGTAGGCCTACTACCCAAAACCAATACTGTATTCAAATTCTTCTCAGTGCTATGATTCTAATAAGGGGAGTCACAGATATTATGTAATATATTTTATTAGACACGAATCCCCCCACCTATGTAAGATATCTAATTTTAATTAATCAAAATAAAGCATATATATATCAGGTGATCAGAACTTTTTTAAGGCAAAAAGCATAATGCAAACCCGTTAAGTAATTAATTCTAATACTTTTATAGAATAGTGAAACATTTTTAAGGAAGGCTTATATGAAAAAAAAATTATTTGTGCATTATCATTATCAGCTTTATGTCTTAGAATAACTGTAAAATTTTTTTGAGAACTGAGGTTAAAATTTAAAACAAGCTATTTAATGTTAGTTTTGAAATTATTATAGAAATCTAAAATGTTATTAAATAAATCAAAAATAGCTTTAAAAGCTATCATCTTTTCATATCAACTTTCATTGTTTCTGAAATTATTTAATCATGATGGGTTTTTATCTTTAGTATCAAATTAGATTCAAATCACCATATTTTTAAACACATTGTCAGTATCGATAGCCCACAATTTTCTTAATTTTCGATTTTTATGTTCATTTCACATATCAGTTTAAGATGTAAAGTTATCTTTCAACTTCAAAATTTATTAAAGACTTTTGTTACAAAGAACCAAATTCTACTTATCAACATTTTTGTAATGCTTTCACATATAGACAAATGGTTCTGACTAAAATTCCTAATTACAATTGTATAACTCTGTTTCGTGAAGCAAATAATAAGTGGAAAAAATACAAAAAAATAAAAATATTGAAGAAATAATCAAAATTTTTTCAGTAAACCAATTTTTATATAGGGGTTTTTTGTTTTACATACAAGAGATTCAGCATAAACAATTGATGATTCACATATGAATATAATGGATATAACAAATACGACAGTTTAATTACCAACTCAACAACTAGAAGAATTACCTCATGCAAATGTTCCTTCCCAGAAAATAATTTTTGATCAAATAAAAGAAGCTGAAAAAAAATTAGTAGAATTTACCTCTCTTTATAATAACGCTAATGATTTTTAACTTCGCAAAGATCTTTATATGCGTATTGAAAGTTTAAAACATGATCTTGAAGAAAAAAAACAGCTTAAAAAAGCTTAAACGAAATGCAAACTATCAGCAAAAGTATAGAAAAAGCAAATCATTTAAAAGAAAAGAATAAAGTAGTTACATATGATTATGTTGGCTGTCCTTCAATTCTTTTTGAATATTATGAATGGATAAAATATGATAGGACCTATGTGGTGCAGATGATTGACAAATCTGACAGATCTGACAAATATAACATATTTGACAATTTTGATATGTCTGACATATATGACATATCTGACATGATCGACAAATATGATATATTCGACAGATTTGACATATATGACA